ACATACATCAATTGTGTAAAGCACATTTGTACATTCATTGCCCTCATCATTCTCAAAACATTTGCTCTCCACTTAAGGCCCTGAAATCAGGTCCTCATTTTATCCCCTCCCGAATCTTTGGTAATTCTAATAGTAGTATCATTAAACGAACCAATGGTTTTGATATTATTTTTCAATCCTCACACAAATGTGCATGCATATGAGTTTTCCTCTTTGTTTAGTCATTCTGTCTTAAATGGGATAATCATGCTTCCTTTATTTGCTTTTTAATAAATGATATGTAAGAGATATCCCACTTTGAATCAATTCATGAAAGCACAAGAGCTGCATAGAGATTAACAGAATGCATTCTGAAGTAATACTTTCTGATTCAAATCCAGACCTATCTATCACCCATCCAGACCTATCACCTGTGAGTTATGCTGGGTACAATATCTGTGTGATATAACCTGGATTTCCTTGTCTGTAAAATGGAAATCAAGGTAGTTCCTGCATCGTATTGTTGTTGTGAGAGGCTATGAGCTGGAATCAACTTGATAGCAGCAAGGTTTTTTGTGGTGGTTTTTTCCCTGCCTTATCTGTGAAGTGTCACTAAATGGGAAACATGAAAATTGTTGATCAGCAAATTCCGATGATATCTATAGCTAAACAACAAAAATAAAAAAGCATTGTATCCTCTTTTGAGCTCTCTTTTATTGTGAAAACGTTTCCCATGTTAAAAATAAGAACGGCTTTGAGAACAATGAAGTGGCCAGGTTAGTTTTACTTAACATCAGAGTTCGCTACCTTTGGGACATGATTTATATACTAGATACAAAGAGAGCATTTTGGCCTCTGACTTTTATTATTTAACCTCCTGAAAAAGTGGTCATTTGTCAAAGGATGAAGATTAATTGCTAAGTTTATTTTATGGAGGTCACAAATGAAAACTTCAGTTCAAGAAGAAAGATAGAAATAGTGGTCACCCAGTTGTTATTAGTCCTTGTTTTTCCGTGGGAGAAGACAAATAACCTTAAAATGTCAGGACCCACCTCTGTATGATTAGCCCCTCATTCCTAGACACAGCAGGCCTTTTGAACCATATGGTAAACGTTCAATAGAGGGAGCTCCCAGGTTATGAATGAAACCAATCCTAACGTGGCTCTTTAAATTGAATTCATAGGTCAGTCAGAACAAGGGCATACAGTTCTTATTTAGCACTAAATCAGTGATTTAAAACTTGTATGTGCAGCAAGCAAAGGTGATTGTGATAAAGAATTTGTTTTGAGGAGGAATTAGTTCAATCATTTCAAAGCTAGGGCCAATTTACATAGCATTAAAGGGCACGTATGAATGTAAATCGAACACTTGTAACCCAGGGGCATACTATACTTCAAATTGCAGTCATTATTTTATCATTATACAACACAGCAGTCTATATTTTCCTATTGCTGAGCATATTCTCTTAAGTAAACTTTTTATTGAAGTATAACATTCAGACCAGGAAAAGAAGGTAGAAAAATCATAATTTCACAACGTGATATTATTATTGGTTGTTTTTTTTTGCAAAATGAGCATATCCATATTAAACCAACACCCAGGTAAAACATAGAACCTGAAAATTCTCCCTGGTACTCATGACTATTCACTAACTCTCCTTCCCCCATTCTGGTTTCTTTACAAATAGTTTAGAAATATGTAAGGGAGCTTCAAAATGCTTGCCGAAAAATTCCATTACTTTTAGCTTTATTTTTTCATAAAAATTTTGAACCCCACCCCCTCGTATATACCCTGCATGTAAATAGAATTAAACAACATGTGTTCTTTTTCTATATGAATTTATTTGCTCAACATTCTGTGAGATTTATACATGCTGTTGCAGGTAGAATCTGCAGGTTGCAGGTTCATTTTCATTGATGTCACTAGTTTCTATTATATGAACCGATCAGAAGTTACTCATTTTCTCATTGGTGGGCATATCAATGATTTCCATTTTTCATCTATGAATAAGCTATAATAAGAATTCTCATGGATGTTTTTTGGTTGTTGTATTGTCTAAAGTGCACCTGATCCAAACCATGGTATTTTCAATCACCACACATGCATGTGAAAGTTGGACACTGACTAAAGAAGACAGAAGAATGGCTAGTTTGAATTATGGTGCTGACAAAGGGTATTTAAAGCACTGTAGACTACCAAAAGGACAGGTCTGTCTCGGGAGAAGTACAACCTGAGTGCTTCTGAAAGGCAAGGATGGCCAAACCTCATCTTGCACACTTTGGGCATGCTGTCAGGAGACACCAGAGAAGGACATCATTCTCGGTAAAGCAGAGGTGCAGGAAAAAAGA